CCAGTCCCCAGCTCCAGAGATGTCTTAAAGGGACCTCAACTTACAGAGACACAGTCCACAGGCTAGGCATCCCACAGGTAGTGTAGCGTATAAATTGAGGCAAAGAACAAGCAAGGCAGCAGCACACTGGTCCGATGATCAAAGAGCAAGAGACAAGAAAGGCGAGGCTCACCGAGCCATTCTGTCTCCGCCCTTCAGTTAATCTTACTTGTATTTATCGGCCAGGCTGGCGTAATAAATTATATCACTTAGCATAATGTTTTCTGATCTGTTCATGTTTTAGCATGTCTCAGTGCTTCATTTCTTCCCTCATGCCAAATATCTTCCACATTTATTTATCCATTCATCAACTGATGGACATTTGTATTGTTGCCACAGTTTAGCCATTATCAATAATGCTGCTGTGAACATTCATATAAAACTTGGTTGTATATTTCCATTTCTCTTACCTCTCTTCTGAGGAATGGAATTGCTGGGTTACATGGTACTTAAAGGAATGGCCTGACTCTTCTACCAAGTGGCTGCGTACCCCTTTCATTTCACTCCACGGTGTAGGAGACTTCAGTGCTCCACACCTTTGGCGATGCTTTTGTTACTGTCAAGCCAGGCTAGTGGTTGGGAGGTGTTAGCTCTTTGTGGTTTTAGTTTTCATTTCCCTATTGACTAATAATATTGAACATCTTTTTATGTGCATATAGACCAGCTGTTTATCTTTGGAGAAATTTCTATTTTAGAACCACTGTCAATTTCTTATTTGTCTTTTTATGAGTGAGCTCCAAGAGTTCTGCATATATTCTAGATGCAAGCCTTAATCAGACATATGATTTCCAAATATTTTCCCCATTCTTTGGGTTATCTTTTTGTATCATTTGAAGAGCAAAGGTTTTAATTTTGATGAGAATTAATTTATCTCTTGGGGTGGGGGTGCTTATGGCTTTGTTTTCTTAACTAAGAAACCATTGTTTGTGTCAAGGTAGCAAAGAGTTACCCGCTATGTTTTCTTCTAACTTTGTTACTCACCCCCTGCTATCGAGTCAATTCTGCCTCTGGGCTTCTGAGACTCTACATCTTTATAGCAGTAGACAGTCTCATCTTTCTTCCAGAGCAGCTGTTGAATTCAAACTGGTGACCTTGCAGTTAACAGCCCAAAGCATAATTCACTATGCCACTAGGACTTTTATATATATATAAAGCTTTAGTACATAAAATTAAATCTGTGATTTATTTTGAATTCATTTCTGTGAATGGGTCCATCTATTTTTAAAAATTAAATTAAAAAATTTTGAGAAATGTAGTATAACATGATTTCAGGAAAGATTTTCTAAGGTTTTCTTCCTTATTCTCGGATCTCCAAAATTTATATTTGTCAAGAATTTGGAATTGCTGGCTGGTGCAGCATAGTAAAGGCTCTGAGGTAGTTTATGCTTTTGAACACATGGTGGCAGCAGCGGTTTGGTGATTGAAACTGGTATTTCATTGTTTTGAATTTTAAGTATTTGGCCTGCCATCTTTTGGGTCATAGGCTGTGAAGCATTGTGTTTAAAGTTGCTTTTAACAATCTTTAATAAATATTAAGATTATTAATATTAATTTGAGGTTGCTTCTCCCCCCGCCCCACCCCCGGCTTTTTTATTTATCCAGGCATTTGTGAAGCCTATTGGTGAGGTATATGGACAAGATGATTCCATGTGGAAATTCTAATGTTAGGATGTAGCTTTCTCTTATTTATCTACTGTGTATTATCCACTTTTCTTCCACAATATCACTGCTACCCCATGATCATCATGTAGAGATAAAATTTAGCATTACAGTCAATGTTTACACCTGAACAAATAGGCCACTTTATTTTCTGATTTTAAGGATTATATAGAAATTGGATACATGGCCAACCATGATTTTTTTCTCCAGTAATAAAAGCTGCTTTATGTCATACTAGAACTGAACCCAAGATTTCCTATTTAGATCTTACTATTAATAAAACTGGGTTATGCCATAGTTCCTTGACAATTTCTTTTAAGATAATTGAAATTAGTATGTCCAAGCACCTACTATTCACTAGGCAATATGCTAACCATCTTGCACACATTGTCTTCTTTTACATTCCTAACTGGTGAGTGCTATTTTTACCCTGAATTTTTCAGAGAAAGAGCTGAATTTAGAGAAGTTAAGTAATTTGCTTTAGGTCACACTATTAAATGTTGGAGTTTGGATTCAGACTCAAGTAACCAGAAGCTGTGTGCTCTTAACCACAATGCTCTTCTGCCAATTCAGAATTCATTCCCTTTTATTCAGATTTGAACACCTGAGTATGAGTTGACACAGTCACTGGATAAATGATGTGCTTTTACCACAAATACTTGGGCAGATGAGGATGTGATGTCTTATATAGTGTTTTTGTTTTTTAATACCTTGCATCATGTACCATGTGTATGTGTATGTATTCATAAGCATTTGTTTTGTACTGTTTGGTGTGTGTGTGTTTAAATTTTACAGAGGTAATTCATACCATGCGCATTGCTGTGGCTTAAAATTTGTTTAAAAGTCTGATTTCAAGATCTATAGTACTTACTATATGAAGAATATGTGATCAGTTTTTGTTACCTCTGAGCGTAGTTGCCATAGAATTGATTCTGGCTATACTCTGTTTATTTGACTTAGCTGCCCTGGAATTTCACCTAATTTTAGCATTACATCACTTTTCCACTAGAGGGTGCACCAAAGTTTGACTGTTTTTTCCTTTCTTTTCTCCAAAATTGTAATAGTAATGAAGTTAAAGTCTTACTTCTCGGTACATGGGGAAATATTTTATTGCATGTAGCTTGTGTAACTGACAGTCTCCTGCTTTGCTTTCATCTTGCAGGTTACTCATTTTTGGATCCTATGACAGAGAAGCCAATATTCATTGCACACTTGAGTTGAGCAGTGGTGTTTGGGAAGAAAAACAAAGGAGTTCTATTAAAACGGTAAAATGGAGTTACATAGATTTATATTTCTATAAGCATCATTCTATAAGCATGTTTTCATTCCTATTTTATATTCTTTGTTATTTGAAGCCATGTAAAAGTAGTTATGGACAGTTCATATATATTTGTCTTGTTGTAATACAACATAGTAATAAAATGAATCACATAAAACCTAGTGTTCATAGTGCTTGTATGATCAATATAACCTCATTAGTTTTTGTTCCAAGTCTATAAAACTGTTTCATGGTTTATGGAGTTAGAAGGGAATTACTCTACTAAGCACATTCCAAGGCATGTAAATTCAGGCCATTCATTCATTCAACAAATGACTTCTGAACATTTACTTTGTACAAAGCATTGCATTAGAAACTAGAGAAATATTTCAAAAGAAGAAAAGACCCTATTGTGGAATTAACATGGGGTAGAGATATGGTGTGAAAGCAGATGAATTGACCCAGTGGCTGCAACATTAGGCTGAAGCATAAAAGCAATGTGAGGATGGTGCAGGGCCAGGCAGTGTTTTGTTCTGTTGTACAAAGGAATGCTGTGAGTCAGAACCGGCCCGATGGCACCTATCACCAGCAGAGATAAGTGTTGGGGCTAGAAGAGAAAGGTGAACTACACATTGTAGAACATAGCAGTGAGTAAACTAGAGAAACAAAGTTATTTTCAGAGATTGACAAGTTCTATGAAGAAAATAAGATGTTATGACAAAGGAAACTCTTTAGATCTGGTAATCAAAGGGATGCCACTAGAATAGGCTTGCCAGAGAAAATACAGTTAAATTAGAATTTCAGGTAATCATTTTTTTAGTATAACAATACTTTTTTGTATAACTAAAATTCAAATTTCAATACATATGCTATATTTCTTTTTGCTAAACCTGAGAGCCTACATTGAAGATGAAGAAAACTGTGGAAGGTTTGGAGGAAGCAGGGGTATGGGAGACATTTCAGGCACAAGGAACAGCAAATGTGTGAAGACAGGAGTTGGGGAAATGCTTTGCTGTGTTTGCAAGCCAGAGGAAGGGAAGAATAAAGAATTGTGCTTAATCTGGTAGGCCATGAGAACAAGTTTGAATGTTGTTGTTTGTGAAGGAAGACTTAGCTGAGGTGTGACACAGTCTCGTGTGCCCATTGTAAAGAATTTTCTGTCTTTAGAGAAAATATTTAGCAGGAAAAGAGTAAACCTGAGAAAGATCTGTGAGGGATCTATATGTCAAGGAAGATGGTGGATACTTGGATTAGGCTGGTAACCAAGGAAATGGAAAGAGGACGGGTTTGCAATGAACTCTTCACTGGGTAATCAGTTAAGCATTCTGGTCGCCTCTTTGATAGCTCTATTATTGACCTACTGCCACCTAATGTGGGAGAAGTAAAAAGTAAAGGCATTTTCCAATATTTTAAATGCTTTTATTAAAAGGAAAAGGAAATTGTGCTTTAGCAAATTCTACTTGAATTAGTTGGATTCTGTGGATTCTTAAATGAATAAAAATGATCACCATTATTAGTCATTTCCAAAGAGAAATTGGTATTCTGAATATGCTGTATAACAATTTTAATAGTAATTATGATATGATTCTTAAGATTTACATAAGTATAATAGTCTGTTAAAGACTTCAGTGCCATTTATCAAAACATTGTCTACAGAATTTCTTTAATAAGCCTATGAAGTTTCACAAGGAAATAAAATCCCATAATGTTATGGTTGAAATCGGAAAATTATCTGTGCTTTGGAGGAATATCTATATCTGTTTATATAGTTGCTGTTGTTTTAGTTTATTCCATTTACTAAGTATATGCTTTGGAATATTACTGTTTTGGTAATGATAAAATTTCAAGAGTACATCTTGAAAATTCAGACCTGTGCAGTTACATGTACTCTTTTAAAAAATTAGATCTAGTTTTCAAGTAGCAATAAGTTAATAGTTCTATTCTTTAATGACACCTTAAAACATTTCTGAAGTAAAATTTTGTATTACAAATATTAAAGATGTATTTAAAACTTAGATGTCTGTTTATGTCACATTTAACTCTTGGTGGCAATATTCCCAAGCCTATCAGTATCATTCATAGCCAACATTTAGCTAACCAGTTCCTCTATTGTATCTTCATTGTACTGACGAGTAGATATTTCAGAACTACAATGGACTAGTAAAGTGATTTTCATATTTATATAATACATATGATACTCATGATAGCACTTTCAAAAACAGATTCAGTTCTCAAATTTTTAAGTAGACCCCTGAGCATATCCCCACATGTGCTTAAACAGCGTGAGTATTAATAGCTGTGTGGTGTTTTGTGAATGTTCCTTTAAGATGGCTTTTAGTTGTTTTTAATAACTCTTAGGACCGTCCTTTATTGAAATTACAATATGAAATTCTTTTGGGAGAAATAGAGGAATTTTGGTCAGAAGTATAATTAGAAAGAGAGATTGGGCTAATCCAGGGTTTTGAATTTTTGAGAGACATAGATTTTGAGCACAGAAATGGTATGTCAGAATAGTGTTTTTAGAAAACTGAATGAGTGAGTTCATGATTCAGCTTCCTTTACACTTACATCTTAAGGAGTTTTTCAGAAAAATGAAATGGAAGGTTTTAGACTTAAATATCACTGCATGAAAACACAATTATTTTGCCCAGGTAAATGGTATTATTTGAAATGGTCATAAATTGTCATTGCTATTGTCATTTTCATTTGTCTTTATTATATTGATTATATTATATTCACAAAGACTAGACAGCTTTAATATTTTACAGCAAAGGTTTGTGAGACTTGAATCTTCAGTCCTTATCTTAGATATTAGCATATGCCATAGTTAGTTTTGAAGAAGAAATTCAGCTCATGGTTACTAATTACATCAGGTGTTGAAGATGTCAGCAGCAGTTAGTCTCTCCCAGGATTAAATCGCCTCTGCCTGAATGTAATAAATCTTGGAATGAGAATTAGGGTCTTCTTCAAGAAACCATAGGATTTTGGAGAATAGGTTAGTTATTTTGGGTACATTGTGCTGAAGCATTTGATATGTTTAGAAGTTGTTTTATATAGAGCCTTTAGGTTTGAATCAGCCTTTCAAGTGTTAAAATTTGTTCAGTGAAGTTAACTACTAGGTTGAAAGAGTCTGTAGAATTAAAATTTTATTATTTTCATATTTTAAGTGTGCCTTTGAATTTTAAAGCACTATGTATCTTACCATGCTAGTAGTAGTAGAAGATCTATAATCAGTGGAAAGCTGTAGATTTGTAATACTTGCATAAGATCTGGGAGATGGGAAGTGTAACAGGTAGACCACATCAGTCAGTTGTAAGCATTAGCAAAATACAATTCATAATGTCTTAATGCAAGCAGATTTGTCTTATGTTATAAATCCAGTTTTAGAAAGTTGTTCAACAGCACCATAACCAAGGACCCTGTCTCTTACTAGCTTCCTCCTCCATCAGCCTTAGCATGCCTGGGCTTTTGGTTTTCATGATTGCAAGAAATCTCATACAACCTGAGGTATCCAGTTATCGAGAAAAAGTGGGAAGTTTAAGGCTAGGGACAAAGGTACATGTCGCCAGATTTGTTCTTTTAAAAATACTTTCCTGAAAGCTCCTCATAAGGATTCCCCCTCATAGATGACTGGCCAGAACTAGGTCACATGGTCGGCCCTAGCAGCAAAGGACCATGGGAAACCATCTTAGCTTTTAAACTTAGTAGAAATAGAAAGACACTAAATGTGAACAACTTTTACATGACCAGTTTATCAAAATCTTGCCACAGGGAAAGAAAAACCAACACAAAACAAAAACCACAATAAAACTCGTAAATCTATTTCATGACATTTGGTTTGGGTTTTCAAGGGATTGGGGGTGGGGCAGAAAAAGTATCAAGGGGAATTTGAAAAAAATATAATAATTTGACAAGTAGTATACATGAAGCCTACTTTAGAAATACCTTTTCTTAGAAATCCAGTGAAAGTTGGGAGCAAAATCTGACTCTCATAAGCTTTTTTTCAACTGTCTTCCAGATTTCTTGCCATAGATGATAGAAAGTGCTTCCAGTATTTTATCAGCTTATGGAAACATTTCTATTGGTATTCCATCAATTCCTGTAACCGTATTTTGGCTAATGCCTTCATTGTATCTTGGACTTCCCCCTCAGTACATTAGTTCTTGATCACATGCTACCTCTTGAAATGATTGAAAGTCAACTACTGGTTGTTCTTTTTGGTGCAGTGACTGTGTATTCTTTCCATCTTCATTTGATGCTTTCTGCTTCGTTCAGTATTTTGTCCATAAAATCTTTCAATGTTGCAACTGAGGCTTGACTTTTTTTTCTTTAGTTCTTTCTGCTTGAGCTATGCTGAGCGTGTTCTTCCTTTTGGCTTTCTAACTCTAGTATAAATTTAAGTAATAAAAGTATTTCATGCCTTATGTTGTATAATATGCAGATACCAGGGAGACTATGGTTAATGATTTTGGAAGATGTGGATCTACCTGTAAAACAAATGATGACTCTCTGACGAGCATTCAGGTAATTGTTGGTGAGAATCCATAAATGATATTATGGATTTCTAAATCAGAACACAAACACATGCCTTTCAGAAAGTGACCTAGAAACAACTGTCAGCTTGTGATTGGCAACCTCTACAAGGAGAGTTTAGAGAGTTAGGAGACAACACCTCTTAGATTCTGGACTTGAGCGGTACTTTTCTTTCTGTCCATTGCTGCTTCCTTGTCACAGTCTCGTTTTTTAAAAGGATCGGTCTATTTTGAAAAGTAATTTGGCATCAGACTCCCCTCACTTTTTTTCTTAAGCACACCACTTACACACCCTTACCAGAGACATTTGAGAGATGGTACCTACTTTCTAAGAGCTTCTGTCAGAATAGGAGAAGAGAATGCCAACCTAACATGTACAGCATCTATGAAATTCTTTTCTCATATACTTGATCCCATTTTCTCTAACAATATCTGGACTGTAGATGGCACTGTACTTATGCAGAAACAGCTCCGG